ATTGATTTTTTTCAGTTAATTCTTCTGTACGAAAATGTCTACCTGTGAAGCTAACTGTCATAGTCAGCTCAGGCTGGTAGAACAAACTACCACAGATGGGGCTTAATCGACAGACGTTTATTTCTCGCAGTCCTGAAGTCTGACAGTCCAAGACCCATAGCACTAACATGTGATCTCTAAGAGTTAATAAATGTTCAATATTAATACACATTTCATTGAGGATATTAATGTATTATTTATTTGATTATAACACAGTAGTTGAAAATACATAACCTCTCAATCTGCCTATTTAGTATACTAAGCCGGATACAAATCTGTAATGAAGAAACTTGTCCACCTAAATAATATTGAGGGTTTGCAATCCCTCACGTCCCACAGGGACATTTCTTAACCGAATGGCTAGAAGTCAAGGAGATGGTTGTGGTTATTAAATGTTTGTGGAAATTGTTCTGGAGCCTTTGAGAACATTGTGAAATTAAAAACATTAATTTATATTAATTAACATAGTCATATGCTTTGGAAAAATTATTTTAAAAACACAGAAATAGAAAACTGTTTGACACTGAAAGGAAGACAGAAAATCTACTTTATTTCTACTTTAAACCAAGTTTGTTTTGGTTGCTAAAACAAATCAGTAAATCTCTCTTTCTCTCTCTCTCTCTCTCTCTCTCTCTCTCTCTCTATATATATATATATATATGAAGTCTATATTAATTAAAATGTGCAATTCCATTTTTACCAACAAAGACTATCTAAGGATTGCATAAAATGTTCCTATTTTTAATTAAAATTAGAATTAAGAAATTAGAATTGAATAGTTAAAAATTAGAGTTAAAAAATAAATGGCAACAATAGACTGGCCTAGGAAAATAATGTTTAAATAGAATTTGTCAAAAGATTTAAAGCTAAATTTAGTTTATCACAATACAGGCAGAATATTTTGTTTTACTATGCCTCTCTGAAATAGTTATAATCCATTAAACACTTGAGACTAATAATGTTGATTTTTTTTCTTACTTTATTCCACCCAAGGACATTATACTTTGTCCAATAAATAGAATTAATAGAGATATTCAACAAGAGGATAACAAGCTCTCATTGATTTTTTAAAAATTCTCTATATTAAAGATATTGTTTAGTAATTATTCTGACATAGATATATAGGCTTATAATACTCTGAGAAAATTGTATGTTCAGAACTGTGTGTGCATTCAGACATGCCATATTAGATTAGAGAATTCTAGTAGACACTCATCTGCATCGTATCTGCTAACTCTGCCCCTGCTTTTTCCACCAAGATATGACAAAATATCTCAAATATCACAAATATGACAAAATTTGCACTTTTCAGTATTATTCAAAAGCTGTTCAGACTGGTATCTAAATATCCTAAGTCAACCAGAACTGTCCTGGCCACAGCAATGGGTCAGGAACAGGCATGTGACTCTGGGCCAATCAGAGGGAGTCCAGGCCTTGCACAAAAGCCACTTTGGGAAAGCTGTTTCCACTGGGCAGCCTGATGTTGGGATTACTACAGTGTATGTGATGATACAAGAGCCTGGTCTGAGGCAGCCCAGTGACGAGAGCAGGGAGCTGCTACTCACGGGTGTCTGGAGCCTGAGGATAAAGCCAACAAACACCCAGGTTGGCCAGAGAGATGATGAGGTATCAGTTCCTTGATAACAAGAGTGAATCCTTGATCAAACCTCACCTGAAGCTATGCTAATTTATGGACTGTTCAATCATATCACCAGTAAACTTTCATTTTTACTTAAACCAGTTTGGGTACCTTATTCTTTAACTTGCAAATATAAAATATTGAATGATACACATATAACGAAAGCAAAAGGTGGCACAAGAAGGGGCTTGCACATTTCTACTGGGGTTATGCATCACAAAGAGTACATAATAATATTATTTCCGGTATCCTAAATAAGTAATTAGGTAGAAATAGCCCTAAAACAAACAAATGCAAATAAAAAATTATTTATTTTTCATTTATGAGGGCATTGATAAAGAGGAAAGTTCTCAGCTCAGGTGTTCACTAGAAATTCTATTTAAGATCAGGTGTTTACTAAGGAAAGATAAAATATCATGCTTCTCCTTCAGTCAACATTCTTCCCGTGTCACCTGTGATCTTTTGAATGGATTTGCAATTTTTGGCCATTGATGGATCATTCTTATTTCTGTGATTTTAAAGGAAGGAAGATAGACACAGACCATTAACACATCAATTTTTTTTTTTTTTGGTGAAGAAGATTAGCCCTGAGCTAGCATCTGTTGCCAAACCGCCTGTTTTTCCTGAGGAAGATTGGCCCTGAGCTAACACCTGTGCCATCTTCCTCTATTTTATGTAGGACACCTGCCACAGCACAGCTTGATAAGCCGTGCATAGGCCCATGCCGGGGACCCAAACCTGGGAAGCCCAGGCCTCCAAAGCAGAGTGCGAGAACTTAACCACTGTGCCACCAGGCCGGCCCCTGAATCAAACTTTTGGGATCAAGAGGGAAGCTTCTGAGGGAAGTAATCTTTGTTTATTTGACAACCATCTACCATCTACTGAATAAGGCACAGAGCTGGATTTTGGGGATACGATGGCCCCACTGTAAAGGAAAGGCCAGCCTAACGGGGGGGGCAGAAGAGTGAAGACAAGTCTAAAGGAGTTGAGTGGCTATGGGGGAGGGGGCGGGGGTGTCTCTCTTCAGGCAGCACGTAAGGGGGTATAGAAAGGTAACACATGAGATGAAAACGAGGAAGATTCAGCCTGACAGAAAAGAAGGGTGCGTATGGCTAGCGGGGGAGCAGCATGGAGAAAGGCTCGAAGGTAAGAGAACCACGGTGATTTAGGACCTGCACGGGCCTTCTGCGCTCAAGCATAAGTACATGCGTGAGCTGGGCAAGACGTTGGAGAGTCGGCCGATGAACAACGGGCCTCGTGAGCCTTGAGAGGGTGGAGGGAGGGTTTATCTTGAATGTCACGGAGCTAATGAACAGGTTCTCTTGAGGAGGACAGATTGATGGGGTTTGAATTTGAATAGATCGCTCTGGGAGCTGCGGCACCCTGGGGACAGGTCTGTCCTGGAGCCTGGAGAATCTTCAGGACAGGAAGGTGAGAGCCGTCTCCAGACTGGGCAGAAAGGGTGCACAGGGGAGCCTGATGGGAGAGCTTCGTGGGAGGCAGAATCTTCAGAAGTAGTCACTGATTAGACATGGAAAATGAGAGAAAGGGAGGAAGAAGAACAACTCCCAGATGCCACCTGGGTCACCTGGGGGATTTTAGTGCAGCCAGATGGGCTGGAAGGAAAATCAGGAAACAGCAGTGAAGTGCAAAAGGCTAAATGCAGAAAGGACACACCCACGGCCGGCCTGCGTGCTCTCAGGTGCAGCGAAATGGGGAACACCGTTTCAGGCCTGTATTTGAATCTTGCTGTGTGTGTGACTGAGGGCAAAGCCTCAGATTCTTTGTGTCTTAGTGTTCCCATTTGTAAAATGGGACTGACAATAACAGTGCTTATTCCTGGAGATGTCTCAGGGATTAAATAAGTTAATACATGTGAAGAGCTCAGAGCAGTGCCTGGTGTAGACTGTGGTTCAATAAAGTTAACTACTATTTCAACCCCTGTTACTTCTCTTTTGACATTTGAGCCAACAGTGTAAAAACCCAAATAACAAGAATAACAGTGTAAAGATAACAAATCTAGATAAAACAGAATAACAACAAATGGAACATTATAATCAATAGACTACTTAATGTTACATCTGTGGAATGAAGCTTTGATTTCATTGGGTTGGGACTTTATTCCAGATCTTGAACCATCTCATTCAGTAATTTTCAACCTGAGGACTATGGATTCTGGGCTCTCTGGAAACTCTAAGATCATCTACAAAATACTGTACCTTTTTTTCTTGAGACAGTGTTCATAATATTCTTAAATGGTGCTGATAATTGAAGAGATTCTGCACATGGCAAAAATCTAGTGTCACTAAGCTAACAATTTAGTAGTTTTATGAGTTATAAAATCTTACTTTCACAGCTTCCCCACCTGCCTCTGCTTTATCAACTGGTAAGATCAGTGTGGAACGTATTATAGTCTCCCAGCAGACCCAGGAGACTCAGAAATAAGGCAGACCATAGTTAATCTAGACAAATGTCATGATGCTATGATGTTAGGCAGTTTTCTGTAACTTTAAAGAACAGATTGTAAACCCCTTACGTGCTAAGCAACATTGCTGAGTGGCAGGTACTAGACATTGTCTCTGGGGCTGATGACCAGGCCCTGTAAATGTATAGGCGAAATTCCATGTTTAAACTATGCAAGCCATCACAATTCTATTCTAAATTCCTTATAATAGCACAGTTCTCAGATTAACAATAAATATAACCTCACTGGATCTGCATCCTAATTCCACCTGGCTGGCATAGTACTTCATTCAAAGTACCTAAAAAAAGATTCCTATTACTCTCTGGAATGACCTCTTGAATTCCTTAAGAACACACTGAAAAAGCTAATTCAGCATTCAAATTTCTACAATGGCCACTTTGCAGGAGTACGCCATGATCATCTAATCAAAGAGCTAAACCGAAAAGAAACAATAAGGCTACAATTTTAAATTGTCACCATCATTGTACCAGAGGAGACTCACTGCTTTTAATGGATATAACCTTTTTGTCAAAGGTTGTGTTAATTCAGTGCAGCTTCTAGCTTTTATTTTTCCTTTTGTTCCAGATTATTTATATTTATATATATATGTTTTCCTTCATACATATGCTTGATACATGCTTTGGTTTCACTCTTCTTCAGTCATAAAACTTTAGAGCTGAAAGGGGCTGACTTGACAGACGAGATAACTAAACCAAGAGCTGTCCTCGCCCCACCCGTCGGGGTAGCTGTCCAGCACCTGGGCTCCTGCCCGCCTGCCTTGCCAAGCTCGTGCTGCGTCCTGACTGCCCGTGCCCTGTCCCCTCTGGATGAATGAAATGAAAGCGTGTGACCACCTACCCACACACCTTGGCAGAGGTGCACTCCACACACGGCGGCCCCCACCCAGGCACGTAAGCTTGGTTGCACCTTCTAAGCGGTACCCCGGGAAGCAGGAGAAGGTCAGAGAGTCCCCGACGCCAAAGTGAAATCCGATTCTTCGGCTGAAGGCAGGGACACCGGGATCATCGCACGGCTCCAGGTCGTATTCTGAGACACAAAGAGACAGAGTAGATTGTGGGAATTGGGGTAAACACTCAAAAATTACTTAGCAAGAATAAAAAAGTGCTATTATTAAAAAAATAAACCGATATATATATATTTTTTTCCAAACTCTGCTGTAGCTGTCATGTAGATTGCTTTCCTTTGTATTATGAGCTCTCTCATGACAAATGTCATGAATTATAATATTTTAAAAAATAGACATATGTTAAAATAAGATGATCCATTTCAGAACTTTCACAGTATGAAATTATTTTCCTGATATTTCTAACTGCTAACGTCAGTTTCTGTCCTCCTTTCAAAGGTGCTTTTGGAAAACAAAGACATGGAGTACAAAATGAAAGCTAATACAATGCTTACATTGATGGAAAGCTTTTTGTAACCAAGTTCACCTTTAAAATACACTTCTGTTTGGAAGAACAAAACATTCCTCTGACTAATTTCAATCTATAAACCAGGTTTTATTGAAATGTAATGGAAAATATTCTGTAAACTACTAGAAACTTCTGTTAACTACTCAGGAAGAAAGTGCTAAATTTAGTTTAAAGAAAAGGAATAATTCCTGGTGTATTGCTGCATTTTGGGGTGGAGTATCTAAAACATCATTACTAATAACCATATTTTGTGTTTGCCTTATTCTTCAAGTCTCAATACATGGGTGCAATGGCACTCTGCCATTGGTCTCGCGGCCCATCCTTCAGTCTGTGTTTTTGTCAGTGGAAAGTTAGAGAGTGTGGGGACTGCTGACTTGTTTAGTTTCCTCCTCATGGTCTCTGTCTCTTGTGTCTGTAAGGCCCAGTGTTTAGCCAAATAGGATCAAACAGTGGGCCAGGTGCCCAACGAAATACCATTAGGGATTAGTGTGGTGAGAAGAGCTTTAAAGGGAATAAAGAGGCAATTAAAGGGGGGGCATTATTGCAATGAGTCAGGGAGAAAAAGACAGTTTTCCACATTGCGGTGGGAAAACTATGCTAATCTTTCTAAAAAAACATTGTCTCCATTTTCTGATTTCCAACTACCATCTTTCAAGTTCTAACTCTAAATTTTGGATTGAATATTCTCAATGAACGTATTAAGCCCAACCTATCCTTTTGTCCCTCCATGTTTTTCAAGTCTAGTACCTCTTTTCCATGTCCATCATGCATTAGCTTAGTCACCAGCCTCTCAACCTCATAGGGAGCAGAGCCCTCTGCCCGAATTTTCCCTTCATCTCACTTAACTTATTGGTCAGCATCTAAGGTCCATGCTTTCTATATTGCCTTTATCCTGTTTTTCATTTAGGCAAAAAATCTACTCTGGATTTCTAACATATTCAAACTAACCTGGCTACTTCGGAAATATACTCATTAAATTGACCTATTTTTAGTATGGTCCAAGGAAAAAAATAGATAACATCACTTAATTCAGATCAAGAAATGTTTATTAAAATACCATGCATAAAACATAGTGTTAGAATCTGTAGGAAATACTAAAATACAGATACAGTGTCCGGGGAACTTTATCTCTCATCTTACAGATGCCATTCTCCTCCTAACACACTCTCAACTCAAATCCTATCTTTCCTGTCATTTCTTTAAAAACAATTGAAAACTCTTGGCAAATAAGAGAATAATTTGATATTATTTTATGCTAAACCTATTGTATTATATAGAGAAACCCCATGATCTTATGGTTCTTTGCTTTGTGTATATTTTTGTTTCATAGTTCGAATGATGTCCTCTGGAAGATACCTATTGGAATAGGAAGCCTGATCCAATACTGTGAGAGTAGAAGGTACGTGTTAGTTCTATCTCCCTATGTCAAGTTATATAAGGATTCTTTTGTATTAATTGTCACTCATTCACTATTATACAGTGTATTTTTGCACTGTGTACACTTCCATTTATTCACCTAATAGAAGAAAAATGTATTGCCCTCAGGATTCCATCTTCTCTCCAACTCAAGGATCTCATTCTTAGAATTTACTCTCTTTATTTTTCTTCATGAATTCTCTTGAATTATTCCCATGAGCATAAAAGAATGTGTTACAGGACCCAATTTAAGAATGAGATATGCCGAACCAAACCAACCCACCAACCAACCAAAAAAACCACTCTCATGACCTCACAGTCACCCAGCCACCACACCATTTTTCTGGTTGCCTTTAGCACCAACTCTTCAGAAGAGTGGGGTATGCCTCCTATTTTCATATCTTCTCATCTCAGGCTGTTTCAACCCATTTATCCAGGCTTCCTTCCATAGCCCTCCAGTCAAACAGCTCTTACCAGAGCCACCATGACCTCCACACGTGAACTCATTTATCAATCCTTAGTCCTCCTCTTAACATCTAAGTAGGTTCTGATACAGCTGAACGCTCTTTCCTTCCATGAAGAGTTTTCCTTTCTTAGCTTCTGGGAACCACTCTCCTCCTAGTCCACTGCCCCGTCTTCTCAGTCGGATGATTTAGGTCTTCCTCATTGTTGCAAGATCAAAATGCCCAGCCCCAGCTTAAACCTGGTCTCTTCTCTCTTTGTATCTACATTTACCTCCCTAGCTTACCCAGTCCCACATCTTTAAATTCTATTCATTGATGACTTTCAATATTCTTTTCCTCTAATTTACCCTTTTCCATGAACTTAAGACTCTTGACAACCTCTCTTGGATATATAGCTAAAATTTCCCAAAACAAAATTTTATATTTTTCCTCCCAAACCTGTTTTACTTCCAGTGTTTGTTATGTAAAAAATAGCATCCTCATTCACACAGGCGGAAAACCTTGATCCCTCTCTGCATTCCATACCACACATTCAATCCCACCATCGCCACAGCCTCAGGCTCCATAATATCCTGCTGGGATCATTGTATAACAGCCTCCTGTCTAGGTCTTTGTTTGAAGGTCATACATGACCTAGAATGAACTTTAAAAAGGATCAGATCATGTCCATCTCTGTTCAAACTCTTCCAATGGCTTCGCATAACAATCAAAATTAGCATCCAAGGTACTTACACGACCTTCTCATGACAGAGCTCTGACCACAGTGACCTCTTTCTTTATCCCTAAACTTGCCCGCCCACTCCCACCACTGCTCTGAGACCCCATCCTCTCTATGGCCTGGCTTGACTCTCTCACTTCTTTGCAATCAAATGTCAGCTTCTCAGAGACCCACCCTGGCAACTCTGTATATTGGCATCTCTTCTCTTAACCCCCTGACCTGTCCAATCTTCCTGATAATATTCCCCGTTACTCTCTTCCCACTGGATTATAGGCCCTACGAAGGCAGGTCTTTCATTTTATTCTCTGCTGTGTCTCTAGGGTCTAGAATAATATTTGGCATCTTGCAGGTGCTCAGCAAGTATTCGTTGAATGAAAAAATAAATAACAGTAAGAGAATGAATGTTCTACACTTTTTCCCAGGCACTGGTGATTCAACAGTGGGAGAAGACACAGTACCTTCATTTGGATATTCATGGTATAGTGAAGCAGACAAATACAAAAAAATAATTTTGGGAAACACATAATTTTGGTATATACACAGTGTTATGGGAATGTAGGAGGGAAAAAAATCTACTTAGGGAAGAGAGGGAAGGCTACATACAACAGATGATGTTTGGCCTGGATCGAAGGAGCTCTGCCTAGTGAAGAATAAAGAAAAGGCCTTTGAATGAAGAGGAAACCACAAATGTAATGGCACTGAGTTGTCCAGTTATCATCTTTGGAAGAGAATGACAGGGAAATTATATGAATTCACAGAAAGTTGGCATTCAAGAAGTGGAATCATAGCAGGCGTGGGGAAGAAAGCCTGGAGGATCAAGTGTACACGGTTAGCAATCAGTAGCTGACACTCAGGATACGGCAGGGAAGGTGCAAGGCTCTGTCTGAACATACTTGAATACAGAGCTCTTTTCCGCACTATTCGCATTAGTGTCTGCAGGGACGTTGACTGGGAGACGTAATCGAGAAATGCTGCTTTAATAAAACCTTCTAAAAAAGACACAAATAAACTGGACTAACAGGGGGAAAAAAGCCAGACTTAAAGGAATACTGATTTTACACAAACATCAGAAAAGTCCCAAGAAGGGTAAATGCTTCATTTGCATAATAAAGTTGCTACTTATTTGGACACTTAAAAACTAAACTCCCTTTTAATAGTGTCACTGGCAATTGTTTGCAGCCCAGTTTCAAGGCAAAATCCCTCCAAATGAAATTATTTCTTTAGCAAATCTAAAGAACATGTTTACTTTAAAATTGGCTTTTCAACCAACAGTGTGTTCTTTTGTTTTTAAAAAGACTGTCTAAGCTTTTGTGTGACAGTCTAGATGAAAGTGATTTCTTCTGCAAGCTCTGTGGATCATTTTCTCCTGGTTGTGTGCAAACAAATTGTTCCACATGCTCAAAAAGTGTTACCACTTTATTTTTTAGGTTTAAAAATATTTTAAAACTTCCCCAAAGAACTGTAAGGACCCCTAAAATTGTGTTTTGTTGTTCCTCTTGTTGCTTGCTGGCTCATTTAGAGAGTTCACGAAAGGAGAAAGCTCTGGAATTACACTGTGACTTTTGGTAATCAAGCCTTATCGTCAGCTCTGTGCTTGGAGCGACAGAATTAAGAAATAAGTGGTGCAAAACGGGTGAAAACTGCATAGACTCGTGAGAAATATCTTCGGAAGAGATCTGCAGACTTGCATCCCTGCCACTTTCTTTCTTTGGAGTGTCCTATTTAAATTCATTTTGGATCATGATGAAAGTCAGAACAGAGGGAGTGACGTTCTCATGGCGGTGCTAATTGAGACTCACACAAGGAGAATATATAGAGAGGGAGATTAAGGCATTAGTGTTAGGAAGGAAGATTTAAGTCTTTGATATACAAAGTAGCCAATTTCATGATTACTGCTGATTAAGGCAAATTTCCAATAAATCCCATAGTCTGAGCTGGTCCTGAAAGCTCCACCAATGCAGTGAAATTCCAGAAAAAATCAACAAAGTCAGGTTAAGATATATGGCAATTGGTCATAATTACAGGGAGAATAAAATGTTCAGAGCATCTTAAAATCCCTACGCCGTCTTTTTCTTTAAGACAGTATTTCAATTTGCCTATTATCCCTCAATAAAGCTGAAAAAAAGACAGCATTTTATTTTATATATTGTTAACGTTCATGAAATATTTAGTAAGTAATTATTAACTTCCTGCTGTAAAAGAGGCAGGAAGAGAGACACCACTGACGTAAAGGTGGCACACAAGGAAACCTTCTACCAAGTTTGGTTTTAGAACAGGAAATAAGATAAACACTTTATAAATATTGGAACAAAGAATCTGCTAAGTGGCGTTAAAAGTTATTAAGAAATTTACAGGAGCTTAAAAGAAATCACTGTGATTATGGGACTCAGGAACCACCTTATGAAAATTATATTAGATCTGGGCTATGAAGAAGGAAGTAGAAAAACACTTTCTTTTTCAAAGCATCCTATACACGAGTGCAAATTAATACAACTGTTTACACCCATCAGAAATCTTAGAGCAGTCATTCCCTGTCTGTTGCCTGGGGGTGGATCTGAGATACTGCAGGAGATCTGATCATTATCTGCTCATCAACATTGTTTATGTGATTAAATTTATCTTGCACAGGCTTGACCAGCATGTAAGTGTAAAAAATAGTAATGCCATTCATAGAACCATTCACATTAAACAATCTAACCCACACCAATAATGTCTGAAATAACAGAAACCCTTCACAAATATTATCTATGTATTATAAATTAAAATAAAAATGTTACTTAATTTTGGAACATCGTTTTATCCCTGTGTGCAGTTGCATCAAACTAAACAAAAGCTCATCCTCGATTGTGGGTGTTCACATTTTTTTTTCACCCTAAAGGTGGTTCTCGATATAAGTATTGGTATGTCCCGGAGGTAGGAATTAAAATAATGAGAGGAGAGCTGATTCTGAGTGTATCTGCCAATAAGGGCAGTTTCCTCAGAGATTTTGATGGAATTGATGAGAAGTGAGTGAGAAGGGCTTTGCAGGAGAAGATAGTGATATTAACAATTTTTCTGGGATGAGAATTTGCTAGTTATGTAGGGGGAAGTGGCACTGTGCGGGTGCCGGGCAGATGTCCTTGCATCTTGCTTCAAGGAGATTCAGCCTCCTCCACTCCTCAACTAATGCTTATCATTGGTCAGCCATTTACCTGTAAACACACACACACACACACACACTCACATTCACACACCCAAATGGTACTATTATTGCCAAAGAAGAGAAGCAGCAGAAGAGACTCTCATACCTGAGAATGTGATATTGAAGCCCTCGTAGGAGATGGAAAAGTCTGATATAAACCGAAGCTGGGTAGCGAAGTTTCCAAACAGACCCGCCTTGATGGTGTGAGGCAACACTGACCCAGTGAGCCTGGCCACGGGCTCCGTGAAACTCCCATCCTCTGTGATCAGCAGATAGTCGTGGGAACTCTCGAGGTGAAAGGTGTGGAAGATCATCTGAACTCCTAGAAAGAGAGAGAGAGAGAGGGATTGGCAGAGTCAAGAGTTGCTGAAAAATTATTTATTCTGGGCTTAGAGACATTGAAGTCTTGACTCAAAATCTGATCTCAACATATAAACTTCACTTTGAAGTTTGAAAGGAAAATACAGAGGATGGGCAGACAGCAGCTTTAGAAATGAAAGAAAGAAGAGGGATAAACAGCAAAAATGAATAAATGCTAACGTATATGTAAGTATAGATATAGGCATAGAGATAAGCATAGGTATAAGTTTAGATACAGATTAGACACACACACAGGGATATAGATAGAGAAACAGATCTGTAAGTAAAATGGCAGGATGTTGACAATGGACTGCATTCAGGACCGCTAACTAGGCTCTTAGGGAGAGCCTCTGTCCCAGAGTGACAAAGGACTCTGGGATAACTTTCCCATTTACATCAAACAAACGTTCTTCAGAAAATCTTAGCTTGGATGTCTAGGACGTAAACTTACACAGCTGAGGGAAGACTTCTTTGAAATCATAGTTTTATATGCCCCTAATGCATATGTTCTCATATTGACAATACCCACAAAGCATTATTTCTGGATTCCTGTAGCTAAATGAATAAAATTAACTATGACTAGGTCTTTTTTGAATTAAAATGCATGTTTTTAAGATTAGAAAACTTGGCTACTCATAATCTGTTTATTTTTTATTCTTAATTTCTTTCAAGACCAAGTTCTTCTTCAATATGTATTCATGACGGCATAGTGTAATACAGCATATGTAATAAAATATGTCAATTTAATGTCAAGGTGAGTTCACATCTCAGTGGAAAGACAAAGTCTACATAATATTTATGTAATCAAAATTCCAAATTATCTCCTTAAAAGTGACAAGTTTAGCCATACAACAAAGATCCAGAGTACAGATCTAAATCCAATGTTTATAAACTGCATTTCTTGCACAAAATGCAAATTGTCATGGTCTTTACTATACTTAACTATAAAGGGAAGAAGGACAATGAAATCTATTTCATAACTCATCATTGGATTATGGGAAGATAAATGATTTATTATGTGTAATAATACTGGGTAAACTTAGAACACAAGGCAAGTACAAAAAGTTATTATAAATTTATCATGGAAATGAGAAGTTTAGATAATTTCTTCTTATTTCCTTTTATTTAATCAATATTCATATTTTATTTAAGGTATGCCTCTTTTCCTTAGCATCACACCTAATTTTTAAGCTTATATTTGCACACATGAATCTAAATTATCTGATAGAGAGAAAAACAAGAACTCTACTTTTGCTTGTAGCACCAATAAATTAAAGACCATTTTTCTTCCAAAATCTTATAAAAAATCAAAATTAACAGTTGAACTGTAGGAGAGGAAATTAGTTATCTCACTCATTCACACATTAATACCTTTTTCTTTCTTCCCATGTTTGTATCTTGCTAATTACTCTGCATATTTGAAATCTATGCTATATTCTTACCCTTTCCATGAGACACTTCAATGGTCCATGTGCAGTTTAGAGAGTTTGGGTAAAAATCTGGAAACCCAGGAGAAAGGACTGTTCCACTCTTTCCATGGATGTAGCCTCCACAGAGGGCTTAAAATAATAAGAAAACATTATTATAGTACTAAAGTTTCCCAATGATTGCTAGAACAAAATACTCTTAAAATGACATTTAATTTGCCCAAGGACTAGAAGAAGATCTGATATCACCTCCATAAAAAAATAAAACAAAACCAAAACTTTATTTTACTTGCAATTATAATATGCCAGCTCGTATGTTACTAAGCAGTACAAACCCTAGAAAAATAACGTAGCGTTAAGGCAGAGAAGTTACAGTAGAGCTTCAGAAATGGTGCAGGTTTGCATTTTCTAGAGATGCTGGTCTTCTTAGTCATACTTGAGCTAATTTAAATCCTCTACAACAAAACATGCCCTGCTCAATACACCTCAGAGACTCATTTTTGAAGGAAGAAAAGGAAAGTTATACATAATCACTTGAACGAGAAAGCAGCGACATTTAGAAAATTAACGTAATATGGAAGTCGAAGTGCTCAGACTTGATGTCAGAAAGTGATGGGTTCAGACACCGACCCTGTGACCTGCTAGCTCTGTGATCTTTGCAAGTTACTTTCATAGTTGTCTTATCCTGAAAATGAAAATTGTGATAAAAACCCATCTGTTAGAGTAGGTGTTTACAATGATCGTCATCATAGAACAGAACTTACAGGGTCTCATATACATTAAATCCCTCAAATACTAACTATTGGTAATTATTAACAGGTATTGGATCTTTAAGATATCAATAATTTAATAATTTGAATAAACTTGATATGCCCTCATTTTGCAAACATTTGAGAATTGACACATTCTCCCAATGTTTTTCTTTTCTTTCATGTCTTAAGCCCTGTCAAACTTTCCTGAGAATGAAGAACTGAACTGAAAAGGAACAAAGTGATGGAATCAACAACGCTGGAGGCTCAGAGGTGGGTAAGGTGATTCAGGTTCCAGCTGAGGGTCAGTCTGGGGTCCTCTGGGTCTTGACATTCTCTTCAAACATCTCCACCTGTGGCAAAAGACCCACTTGTGTCAACAGCACAGACCCCAGACCCCGGCTGCCCAGACCCACTCTCCAACTCCTGCACTTACGGCTGGTGACTCTGAGCATGTTTCTCCGCTTCTCTGTTTCCGTATATTCTCGTGTAAACACGGGTAATAACAACACCTAATGCACAGGTCGCTGAGAGAATGAAATGAGCTAACACATGTAAGGGACTGAGAACAGCGACTCACACAGGAGCACTCCATCAGGATCAGGCCTTCCTCTCCATTTCACAAGATGCCCCTCTCTCTCTTTCAACATGTTCTCATTGTTTGCACATGTGTACTTACACTTCCTTTTTAGAAGTAGATAACGTGAACTATTACTAAATGACTGATACCTGGAATAACTTTTTCCTATTAACATGAACTTCCTGAATCATGTTTCACAGAAGCTAGATCCACAAGTAATATTTGCAAGAGAATGAATTAATTTAGGAAAGACACGATATTTCTCATCCTGTATTTTAAGGGAGCACATAATGTCTTTGAATATGCAAACCAAATGGAAAGGTCTATGTAAAAATCAGCAAGATAGAAACTTTTTTAATGAGTTCTAGAATATTTTAATAATTTCTCCTGAGATTTTCACATCTTAAAATTACATTGACTCTACATTTCATTATGAAAGAGGTGACAGTATTGTAACATTTGAAATCAATTTATTCAACAAGGAGTTATTGAGCAGCTACTATTAACCAGGCCCTGTCCTCAGCCCTGGAAACATAATAATGGACAAAATAGAGAAAAACCTCTGCCCTCGTGGAGCATACACTCCATTTGATGATGATAGAATATGACCCATAATCATAGGAAGAGCATACTAAATACGATATTGGAAGACAACAATGTCAAGGAAGAAAAGACAGATAGGATTCTAAGATTTGTGTGGGGTTGGGGGAAATATAAATAGGGTAGTCAGGAGGCCTGCCTTAGTAAGTGGTCCATGAAGAAGGATTTGAGAGGGATAAGGGAGCCACTTGACAGCTGCAGAAGAACTTGAATGGAGAGAAAACAGCAAGGACGAAGGCTCAAAACTAGAGTGGGCCTCCGGGGTGGGGGGACAGAAAGGAAGCCAGTGTGGCTGGGAAGGCAAGAAGGAACTGGAGAAAGCAACAGGAGTTTACAGAGGGTCAGAGCCTTGGCGTTTCTCTGGGTGAGATGGAGGGCCACTGGAGGGTCCTGCACAGAGAAGGATGTGCGCTAACTTAGGCTTTACCCTGATGGCTAGGCTTTATGTGAGGATGGGGTGGGGGTGGCAGAGAGCAAAGCAGATAGGATTCTGGACCAGAGGTGGTGGGAAATGGTCAGAACCCGGCCGTATTTTGAAGGTAGAGCCAATAGGATTCTCTCCTGAATGGGATGTGAGCACCATGACAAAAAAGGAGGAGCCAGAGATGACTGTCAGGTTTGAAGCCTGAGTGTGAAGGAACTGAAGGCAAAGGATGACTTTGGGAGGAGCAGGTTTTGAGAGTGAACCTGCTCGGTTTTGGATCCGTAAGCTTGATGCCTACTAGACAACCACGTAGAACGGCTGGCGTTGTAATTGGATGTGTAAGTCTGGATTCCATGGAGAGGTCTGGCCAAGGGATAGAAATGAGAGCATAACTAGACGAGATCATCAATGCAGTGAATGTAGATGTGGATAAAGACTAAAACCTGAGATATTCCAATGTTAACAGCTCAGGAAGACGAGGAACCTTCAATAAAGGAAACTGAGGAGCAGCCAATGTAGTGAGAAGAAAACTGAGAGAGCACAGAGTCCTGAATATACACGCTATATATTGGTGACTTTTCATCTGTCTATGATTGGATCGATGTAAATGAGGACATTAACTTCTCAAATTTTTATCAAAGATTTAACCATAATGAACGAAAAACATTTTAAGTAAAATTGAGTTGTCATATATCCAATTATTTGTCAGTAATGTTTACCTTAACATCTGCATATGTTATATAAACTTGATAAAAATAAATTCATATCCAGCTACATTTAAAAATTATAAAATTTATCAATCTTTGTTTTTTCCTCTGTCCTAATGTCATCAGAATAAACTGTTTGATCATATAGTAGGGAGAAGCCTGGGAGGGAACACATCTGACCACTGTTTGTTTGATGTTTTCCATCCATTCAATGCAGAACTCAGAAATCACTATCCAACTCCATCAAGCTGCCATTTAGGAGCAAAGTAGGACAGAAATTTACAGATAAACCAAGTCTGTTGCTTATTTTGATTCATATATGTGCAAACACAACATAGTCTAATTCATATATGATGATTTTAAATAAAATAATTTTGTCTACAAAGCCTACAATTTTTTTTTAGGAAAAGGAGATTTGATGTACAGAGAATTGCACTGATATTCCCATCTGAAATCGAAGAGATAAGAGAGTAAAACAAGAGACCTGACTTACATTTCAGTGTCCCCATGGGTCTATGACTACATTCATGTATAGACATGAATATATTCCCTTCAGTAGAGCTACAAACACAGCTGCATATAATTTGAATTATAATAATCTATTTCTTCATGCCCTGTAGAGTCTTTTCTGGGGTACTTGTAAAAGACACAGTAAAATTTTACTTTTGGTATCCTTAAGGCTATAATTTCCTGAATTTTACTTTTCTATTTATATTACCTACCCACCATTGAAGACCAGAGACATGACATTGGAAATCTCTTGGATGGAGGACTAAGATACACAGAAACTGGGGAAAGACAAAAGAGGTGACATTTGCTGAGATCTTTCCCAGGTGAGCTGACGTAGACTGCCCAACTGTAGTTCAAGTTTTGTCTTTGGCCCTCTGCTTTTATCATTCATTCATCCATACATTCATCGAAAATGATTTATTGAGGAATTTACTACTATTTTCCAAGCACTCTTTTTTGCTTTTTGGTATACGGCAATTAATAAAACAGACAAGTCTCTGTTTTTCCAAAGTTTACATTCTAGTAGGCAAGGCAAATAGTTTATAAAGAGATAACTAAGCATGACTATTCTAAAAACAAGAATCTTAACTTGTTCTTGAAACTCAAAGGTGGTCTAGGTGATTAGAGTACAGTGGGCTGGTGAAGCAGCAAAGTGATGGACACATCCATGCAGATGTCCACTCCCAGGGCTTTGAATATTGAGTATGTAATAAAAGGATGGAGAGGAGGCAGAAGGTCTGAGTCAACCCAGTGTTAACAGATTACCCTCTGACGGGCTGTCAGCTGACAATTTATTGCAGGGTCCTTGGGTGTCTACTGTTCTTTCAAGTAAAGCCCAAAAACCTCCTATAGACTCTGTAATTGTTGACTTCCCATCATTCTCATCCTCCCCTCACCTGCCCAGACCCTGCCCAAAAATCTTCTAATAATTTCAAGTTTGCAGACAAGTGAGTTGTTTCATAGAACCAAAACCCCAGCTTTAATAACTTTACTTTTAAACGTCTACCCTACCTGGATTGGAGGAGGGCAAGAGTTGAAGCATGTGGACTACATCATAGGCCTTAGTCACTTTCCACATGAGACATGATGGTGGGAGAGGGAGAGGAATCAAGTAAGACAGATTCTACTCTCTCCCTGGAAGATACTATCTGTTTCCATAGCACCAACTCTAACTAAAAACCTGATAGATTTCAAACTCACATTTTAGACACTGATTTCTTTCTCAAACCACAGTTGAGTCTCCTACTGCATGCTACCTACAAAGAAAACCTTTGAGTCGTTTCTCTCTCCTATGCCACCCATATCTTGATAATGACCCTTCTGCGTATTCCTCTCTTCTCATACTTTCTCTAACTGGTGTGTTTCAGGTCGTTTTTGTCTAACTTATCTCCTAGCTCCTTCCTCTTGCCTCTTCCTTAAAGAGAGAAACACGTGAAAGTGTCCAGTATACTGCCTGATTTGTTTCTTTCTTTTCTCTTTTTCCATTATTTCATTTTTTACTTTAAACTACTAATAAAGTTCCATTTAAAGCAAAAACTTAATGGGGTTACTTCCCATTTCAA